GAAAGATATATGAAAGTGCTAAAGGGGTATGTTCAGAATCGTACTCGTCCCGAAGGTTGCATTGCTGAGCGGTATATAGCTGAAGAAGCTGTAGAGTTTTGTACTGAGCATTTATCTGATGTTAGTACAGCTGGAGTGCCTTCAAGCCATAAGATGGGAGTTTCAAAGCCATTATCAGGTTGCACAGTGAGCGTAGTTGATCGGGACCTGTTGAACCAAGCACATCTATATGTCTTGGAGAATACGGAGGAAGTCCTACCTTATATCGAGTACGTATGAGTTTTATTCTTTAAGTTTCCATTTTAAATTATTTCTTTTGTTTATCTTATATGTTTGGGACCGTAATACTTGAATTTTGTGTGTCATGTAGGCAACATATGATCCACATCCAGACCGCTTATCCAAAATTTAGAAAGAGAACAAAGTGGCTGCAGGATAAGCACAATAGCACTTTCATTCCATGGCTACGCTTCAAGGTATATGTTATTGAATAACATATTGGACTTTTAATTTTCTTCTTTCTATGTTAGATTGAATTAAGTTATGATTAATTTGCAGGTTCAAAGTGAACTTAATGAGGAAGACAATCATGGCGTATCAGAAAATTTAAGGTGGCTAGCAGCTGGTCCAAACATGGCAGTGCCATTATATAGGAGCTATCTCATTAAAGGTATTAAATTCAACATCAAGGCACAAGATGATGTGCGGACAACTCAAAATAGTGGAGTTTATTTACTTGCACATACTATGCAAGTTGCTAGTGCCAAGGATAAAAACTCAATTCTCTCAAATATGGGTTTCTATGGTGTCATTCAAGAAATTTGGGACCTTGACTACCAAAAGTTTACAATCCCAGTCTTTAGGTGTGATTGGATTGATAATACTTCTGGTCTTGTAGTGGACGAACTTGGATTTACCCTTGTAGATTTGAGTAAAATTGGACATAGGAATGACCAATTTGTTTTGGCTTTTCAAGTCAAACAAGTATTTTTTGTTGACGACCCGATGCATCGTGGTTGGTCGGTGGTGTTATCAATGCCTAATAGAGAATATAATGATGTTATTGGTGATGATGTCTTAGGTGATGTGAGAATTGAGTGTGAGCCATTTACTAGGGGGATGCCAAATGTTGACACATTTGATGAAGTGGTGGTTGGGTTAGGGAGTCAAAATATTCGAGATGGGTGTGAAGATATATGGGTTGAATGATGCTTTATGTAATTGGCAGTGTATGACATTAATTTTGTAATATATTGTAATGTGATTTCTTCACTTTCATTATACAGGTTTTGGCCACAAAACAATCAGTACAAAAATTACTGGTTCCAGATTACAAACACGACGGTTTTGATAAAGAACCGCCATGTAATTCAACATAACACGTCTCCAATCCCATAACACCGACGTCTAAAAGACGAGAACTTTAACCTGAACGTTACAAAAGACGACGTCGTCATGAATTTACCACGTCGCATGTTCTTTCATAAACGAAGTGGAAAAGGATGAATTCACGACGGTATTTGAAATCCATTAAATTTGTCGACGTTAAGATTTATGAATTAGACGACGTTAATTTTTTAATAAAGACGTATAAATTATTAACCACGACGGTCTTTTTCATGGTACCGACGTTGTATATAAACGACAACGTCGTCCTCATAAATTACTGTGTCGTAATTAATGACCCCATCATTTTTTCCACGTCGTTTATTTTCAAAATATGACGCATAAATTCTGTAATACGGCTCTCATTTATTTGGAACCGACGTTGTTTATTCATTTCAACGTCGTCTCAGTAAATACATACGTCGTAATTAATGAACCTGACATCTATTTCCACGTCATAATTCGTAGAAAAATCGAAGTGGAAAATTTATTTTACGACGGTATTTGAAGTCCATTAAACTTGTCGACGTTAAGATATATGCATTAGACGACGTCAATTTTTTAAATGAAGACGTATAAATTATTAAACACGACGGTCTTTTTCATGGTATCGACGTTGTATATAGACGACAACGTCGTCCTTATAAATTACTGTGTCGTAATTAATGACCCCATCATTTTTTCCACGTCGTTTATTTTCAAAATATGACGTATAAATTCTGTAATACGGCTCTCATTTATTTGAAACCGACGTTATTTATCAATTCAACGTCGTCTCTGTAAATACATGCGTCGTAAGTAATGACCCTGAGATCTATTTCCACGTCATAATTCATAGAAAAATCGAAGTGGAAAATTTATTTTACGACGGTTGTGGGAAATGTTGTGACGTAGTAGGTGTCAATAACGTCGTCTATTATTATTGTAAAGACGTCGTATTTATATTTGTCGTTAAATATTTGTTTAACGGCGTCAAGTTTAAGTTCTCGTCGTTGTATGTTTATCTTGCGGCCATGTTCTGTTAATATATGTCATCTGTTTCCTTTTTAACGACGTTTTTTTGTTGGAGTTGGTCGTCTATTCTCATCCTCGACCCTTTTTTTTATGTCTTTTTGCAGCACAAAGACGTCGGTTTTTATTTTTTGATGACGTTTTTTGTTTTAACAACGACGGTTATTCACCGTCGTGGTTTGGTTATGGAAAAGATGTCGGTGGATTCCACGACCATTTGAAAACATAATACACGACGGTGATTTACCGTCGTGTTTTTCCTTTTTTGTAGTAGGTTTTCTTTTGGGTGGAGCATTTTGTTAAAATCCCAAATAGATAATGAAAAAGCAACAAATAAGCAAGACGGTCCATAGGGCAATCGCAAAGTAAAATTAAGCATCTCCAGATAGTAGAGAGACTCAAAGACCAAGCTGACCTGATATGCGATTCAGAGAGAAAATAGATACAAACCCTAACCCTTGAGGGAGTAGTAAGGTATGCTGTTTTGGGTAAAATTCGCATGTGTATTCTATTTGTTTGCTGGATTTGATATGATGGTAGTTCTAATTCCAATTTGATCTTCATCCTTTCTGTTCCAGTGAAGCTTGTTGTTTGGAGATTCTCTGCTACATTACTCAAATCTTCTCGAAGGTAAGCCAATTGTAAGTTATGTTAGATTTCTTGGTATTCTAGCTGGGTTTTGCGAGTGGTTTTGTTAGAGAAGAATAGAAGAATAGAAAATAATGGAAAATTGCTCTGCTTACTCACCAAGTTTGTGAGCAAGACGTTTTGTATATATTTTTGTTTGTATGTAAGAATGAGCTCATACGGCATGTACTACATGCCCGTTAGCTGATTCACACAAGTTACAATGAATCTCAGCCATCCATCTGTCCCAAATCTATAATCACTACATATGACTATTTTGACCACACACTTGGCAGATATACTCAAGTGAATACACACATAAAGTTCATCTTATTTCACTAATACTAATCAGCTATAGACTTATAATTCAACACTCCCCTTTAAGTCTTGAGCTGATTTCACTCCGAGCATACTCCTGAGATAGTTGAAGTGATCCTTAGCCAAAGGTTTTGTGAAGATATCTGCTACCTGCTCTTTAGTGGGACAATACACCAAATCAATGATTCCTTCCTGCAGTATAAAATGATACCTTCTGTCAATGTGCTTGGTCTTCTGATGGAACACAGAATTCTTTGTAATAGCAATGGCAGAAGTGTTATCACAATGAAGAGTAGTAGCTTTAGTTTGTATTTCTCCAAAATCTTCCAAAACAAACCTCAGCCATATTGCTTGAGTTGTGGCTTCTGATGCGCTTATATATTCAGCTTCTGCAGTTGAAAGTGCAACACAATTTTGCTTGACTGAAGCCCAAGAAAACACCCTACTCCCAAATGAGAATGCATATCCTGATGTACTTTTGTTGTCCTCTAATGAGCCACCCCAATCACTATCACAGAAGCCAATTAAACAAGCTTTCCTTCCCTTCATATACTCCAGGCCATAATTCAGAGTTCCCTTGATGTATCTGAGTACTCTCTTTGCAGTTCCATAGTGTTTATTGGTAGGACAGTGCATAAATCTTGCCAATAAACTTGCTGCATACATTATATCTAGCCTTGTAGCAGTGAGATATAGAAGGCTTCCCACAATGCTTCTATACCTTTCCTCACTCGCAGATCCACTTCCATCATCTTTAGATAACTTTTCAGTAGCTACAAGAGGAGTTGTGACGGTGTTTGCTTCATTTAATCCAAACTTACTTAGTAAAGAACTTGCATACTTCTTCTGGTGAATGAAGATGCTAGAGTTAGTTTGAATCATTCCCATTCCGAGGAAGTGGTGAAGAAGTCCTGAATATGTCATCTCATACTTCAGTTTCATGTCTTCCTTGAACTCTTCCAGCATTGATTTGCAACTGCCAATGTAGACTATATCGTCCACATAGATAGAAACAATCAAGATATCTTCTCCCCTTGCTTTTATCTATAGAGTTGGTTCACTCAAGCTCTTCTTGAAACCACACTATGAGAAGTAATTGTCAATCTCTCCATACCAAGCTCTCGGAGCTTGTTTTAGACCATAGAGAGCCTTATGAAGCTTGTACACATTTTCCTCCTTGCCTTTGACTACAAAACCTTCCGGCTGCTCAACATAGACCTCTTCTTGTAGAACTCCATTCAAGAAAGCCGATTTCACATCTAACTGATACAGTTTCCAGCTCTTTTATGCAGCCAAGGCTATTAAGGTTCTAATGGTATCCAACCTAGCAACCGGTGCATAAGTCTCATTGTAGTCCAAACCAGGCTTTTGTGCATAGCCCTTTGCAACCAGCCTTGCTTTATTCTTCAACATTGTGCCATCAAGATTTAACTTTGTTTTGTAGACCCATTTAACCCTTATAACAGGTTTTTAGTTGGTCTGTCAACGAGTGTCCAGGTGCCATTTTTTTCAATCATAAACAACTCATCCTCCATAGATTTTAACCAAGACTCGTCTTGTTTGGCATTCTCATATTTCTCTGGATCCATAATGCACAGATTGTATTGAGCTAACACTTCATTCAGATTCCGCCACTTCAATGATGTATGATCAAATGCTTAATTGTGCCTTTCACTTAAGTTTGACATGCTTGCAGATTCACTTGAGATAGGTGACTTGGATTGAACTTCAAAGTCTTCAATACTAAGAACTCTCCTAGGTGGAGATAATGTAGATGATGTAGGAGACAACACCATTCTATCACTACTTCCTGTACTTATGTCACCATGAATAAAACTTCCAGCATTGGGGGATATTGACTCTGAGTTCTCTTCCCAATTCCAGGCAGCTTCTTCATCAAATACAATGTCTCTTGACAAGAATAGTTTCGTGGATAGTGGATCAAATACCCTATACCCCTTTTCACAAGTTGCATATCCTACAAATACTCCTTTGAAGCTTTTAGGCTCAAGATTGTGTCTGTGTTCAACTGGGACATGAACATAGCATAGTGAGCCAAATATTTTTAGATGTGCTGTTCCTGGTTTTCTTCCAGAATAAGCTTCAAACGGTGTGTTGTTATTCAAGGCCTTTGTGGGACATCTATCTAGAATGTACACTGATGTATGCACTGCCTCTGCCTAGAGAAAATATGGCATTTTCTTCTCATGCAACATGGATTTAGCCATCTCAATCATCGTTCTGTTCTTCCTCTCCACTACTCCATTTTGTTGTAGAGTATATGCAAGAGTGAATTGCCTTTGTATTCCTTCTTTCTCACATAATAGAACAAATTCAGATAACTTGAACTTCCCTCCTCTATCACTTCGCAGGCACTTAATCTTGAATCCACTTTGTAGCTCTGTCATAGCTTTGAATTTTCTAAAACAATTGAATGCATCAGACTTATATCTCAGGAAATAAACCCAAGTCATTCTGGAGAGATCATCTATCAACAACATGAAATACTTATTCCCAGCAATTGAATCATTCTTCATAGGTCCACACAGATCAACGTGAGCCAGTTCAAGTAGAGTAGTTGCTCTTTGTGCTTGATTTCTTGGAAATTCTTCTCTGTGTTGTTTTCCAAATTGGCAGCCTTGGCAGACTCCATTGTAGTCTTCAAGCTGAGGCAACCTTGCACCATTTCCTTGTCTCTCAATTGTTTGAGACCACCAAAATGTAAGTGCCCAAGTCTCTTGTGCCAAGTCTCAGTAGAGTGAGTAACACTAGCTTTTAAGACCACTTGGTTCTCGGATAATAAAGCCAATGGATAGCACCTATTCACTTTCTTCTTCACTTTCATAACTAAGCTTTCCAGTGATGGACCATCATATATACTGCACATTCCACCACCAAACACTAAGAAATATCCATGTTCATCCATTTGACCCACACTTAGCAAATTTTCTTTTAAACCAGGCTAATACATTACTTCCAAGCTGAGGCAACCTTGCACCATTTCCTTGTCTCTCAATTGTTTGAGACCACCAAAATGTAAGTGCCCAAGTCTCTTGTGCCAAGTCTCAGTAGAGTGAGTAACACTAGCTTTTAAGACCACTTGGTTCTCGGATAATAAAGCCAATGGATAGCACCTATTCACTTTCTTCTTCACTTTCATAACCAAGCTTTCCAGTGATGGACCATCATACACACTGCACATTCCACCACCAAACACCAAGAAATATCCATGCTCATCCATTTGACCTACACTTAGCAAATTTTCTTTTAAACCAGGCAGATACATTACTTCTCTAACATACTTTCTGCCCTTATTTGTATCAATCACCAATGAGCCCATTCCGGCTACATTCACAAGATCTCCAGTCGGCATTTCAACTTTGTCAGCTATGTTGATTCTTACATCAACAAGCAATTCTACATTCCTTATCATGTGGTTGCTACAACCACTATCGATGTACCACTCTCCATTCACCCTTGGTCCTGTGACTGTGCTATTTGCATAAAATAGATTCCCTGTCATCTCCAATTGGTTAGCACTGTTTGCCTTTTGCACTGTTTTAGCTGCAGTACATTCTTTAGCCAAGTGACCAAATCTATCACAATTGTAGCACTTTGGCTTGCCTTTGTATCTGCATTCTCCAAAAATGGTACTTTGAGCACACTTTGCACCGAGGTTTTATAACTTCTTGGCTTGCTGGCTGTGATGAATTGAAGCTGTGATTTGGTGCAGGATTATTTTGATGTGGCTTTCCTTTTGACTCCCATGATTCCCCTTAGGATTCCAATTCTTCTGAGACCTCTGACCACTGGACTGAGAATTTCCCCTGTTTTGTTGTCCTTTTGAGGTCACAGAGAAGGAGGCAAATGCCTTGTCAGTAGCATCAACGGTGTGCATATCAAAACGTTATTCCTGGCTTTTAAGGATAGCAAGGATCTCTTTTAATTCAATAGTCTCTATATTCTTCGTATTCTCAATTACAAGACAGATAGGATCATATGGTTTACTAAGGCTAGTCAAAACTTTCTGCACAAGTATTTCATTAGATAGAATTTCACCAAACGTTTTCATCTGATTTATCAACTCATTTAGCCTAGTAAGATACCCAGACAAAGTTTCATCATCACGCATTCTAGCATATTCGAATTCGCGTCTCAGATTTTGAAATTTCACAGATCGTACCTGCTCACCACCGTGATATTCTTCGTACGACAAATCCCATGCCACCTTCGCTGATTCAGCATTGGCGATTCGAGGGAAGATTTAATCCGAGACTGCATTATGAATGATTCCAAAGCCTTTGCATCTTGCATCAGCACAATAGCCATTTTTCCATCTACATCATCCTCCGATGATCCTTCATCCTTCTTCTTCTCCGAATCGGAAGTTTTAACTCCCTTCTCTACCAAATTCCACAACCCACGTGATTTGAAAATCGTCATCATCTTGATTCTCCAGAACTCGTAGTTCTCACCGGAGAAAATTGGAGTTCTCACTTCGGAACCTCCAGATCCGGACAGCTTTGGTCTGAATGGGTTGATTTCTCTTCTCAGATGATAATGGGTCTTTGGCAGCTTTCACCGAGCTTCAACTCAACTCAATGGGTTCACAGATTTACGCCCAGGCTCAGATGATCGAACCTGGCTCTGAGGCCATGTTAGATTTCTTGGTATTCTAGCTGGGTTTTGCGAGTGGTTTTGTTAGAGAAGAATAGAAGAATAGAAAATAATGGAAAATTGCTCTGCTTACTCACCAAGTCTGTGAGCAAGACGTTTTGTATATATTTTTGTTTGTATGTAAGAATGAGCTCATATGGCATGTACTACATGACCGTTAGCTCTTAGCTGGATTCACACAAGTCACAATGAATCTCAGCCATCCATCTATCCCAAATCTAGAATCACTACAATTGACTATTTTGACCACACACTTGGCAGATATGCTCAAGTGAATACACACATAAAGTTCATCTTATTTCACTAATACTAATCAGCTATAGACTTATAATTCAACAAGTTCTGCAATTCAATTTCAGTTGAACACAGACCACTGGCTTGCTATTGATGTTGACTAGCCAGGAGGATAAATTAAGCAATCTGTGCTAATTACTTTTGTTTTTCTTTTGGAGCCTTTATGCTTGCTAAGAATTTAAAGGTTATTAGGGATTCATTGTGGGTCTTAATTCATTAGTTTTGGCGAATTTCGTATGCAATTTTTCACTGATATAAATCTGTTCACCCTTTGACATACTGATGGCTAGATTGGTTGTAATTTAACATTAGGTGAATTATATCCCTTTGTTTTTCAGTCAGATAATTATTGCAATGGGAAAGATGAAGACAGAGGAGGATGGTGCAGCCTCCAAGGTTAAGTCAACCGGCAAAGATGCTACTAAAGATGGGAAGACGGAGAAACTATCAGTCTCTGCCTTGTTGGCCAGCATGGACCAGAAGCCCGAAAAGCCCTAGAAAGGATCTTCCTCAAATGCAAAGACAAAAGGTGCTCCAAACCGTCCATCATACACTGATGGTATTGATCTCCCTCCCTCAGATGAAGATGTGTTGGAAGTGGATCAACAAGAACAGAAAGTATCTAATCAGCAAAAGAGGCCAGAATTTAAGCGACTTAGATGTATCTATAACAGACAATGTTAAAAAAGCGTGCTCAGAAGGACCTTCTTGCTGCTCATGCTCTTGAGCAGGCTGAGAAGGTGGCCCTTAAAGATGAGCGTGATTTCCTTAACACGGTTTGCAATGAGATTATTCATCTGCATGATCTGAAACTCCACATCTACCGTAGAAATTTTGATGATTTTGAAACTGGGAGTGGAACTCCACATCTGCAAGGAGGTGAACAAAAGGTTTGAAATTTATGACAAGCAGATGAAAGGTGCCAAAAGGAGTGGAAATTGGGTTCAACAGGAGAAGGTCAAGGATCGAGCAAAGTCTATTGCAGCTAAGGAAGCATCAAAGAACAAGGCTACGGGAAAGGTTGATGAAGATGAGACACCAGCTGAGGCTCCTAAGAAGTGGAGAGATTACGGTGTGGAGTTCCACTTTCCTGAACCTACAGAACTTACTCCCCTATTTTTGCAACTTGTTGAAGTAAGCTTCAGTTATCCACAACGGGAGGATTTCAAGCTGTCAGGTGTTGATATTGGTATTGATATGGGGACTCGTGTTGCCATTGTTGGACCTAACGGAGCGGGAATGTCTACTCGGCTGAACCTTCTTGCAGGTGATTTGGTTCCTTCGGAGGATGAAGTACGGAGGAGTCAAAAGTTGAGGATCGGTAGGTATTCACAGCACTTTGTGGACCTCCTGACAATGGATGAGACCCCATTCAGTACCTTCTCCGTCTTCATCCAGACCAAGAAGGGCTTAGCAGGCAAGAAGCTGTCCGCGCAAAGCTTGGAAAATATGGACTCCCTAGCCACAACCATGTCACTCCCGTTGCAAAATTATCAGGGGGGGCAGAAAGCCGTGTGTTGTCTTCACATCAGTATCCATGTCAAGGCCCCACATTTTGAGCCAAATATCCAAATATTCAATATCGTAATTACATATATGATAAGGAAGGTCCAAATATATCTATTTTATTTAATACAACTAAAGAGAACATATAATAACTAAATTATGTGATGTTCTCACACAATGGCAGGATTTGAAGAACATTAATCAAGAATATGCATAATCAGTTATGGAAGTGACGGTATCTGATAAGAACGAAATTGGTATGTCATGGTATCTTGTAGATGTGCACCGCTACATATCATGTAGTCTTGTCCATAGCTTCTTTGCTTCTGATGATATTCTTCTCAAAGATTATGAAAAATAAAGAATAAAAATAATTATCTATGATTAAAATAAAACTGCATGTAATGGATATTATGCAAGTGCTACTGGACAAATATTAATGATTAAGTACTACTTTAAAAAATGATACCACCCTTAGAAGCATTTTAACGAGCCATATATAAATAAGCATTATAACAAGCTATATATAGAAGCATTTCAAAAAAATCCAATTTTTTAAATTATTTTTTATTAAATAGTTCACTGGAGTTTAGATTTAAGTGTTTATTATGATTAGAGATTATTTTGTATTATAGTCCATGATGAGCGTATATTGTAAAGTTGAGTACTATCATAAGAATGAGCCCAATTAAAAGCCTAATTCCTATAAGCATATAAGTAAATTAGTGTAATTTTTATTGAGTTACATTTGTGTTATCAGGGTACGTAGTGTAATGTTTAAGAACATAGAGCTTAGGAATTAGGGGTTTATGGCTTCTCTGTGCCAATTAGAGACAAAATTATGGTATAGAAATTATTCTCTAATGCTTAAACAATAGTAAATCCTGAAAAGAAGGTTATAAAATAAAAAGTGGAGATGAACTAATAAAATAAGAAAGATAAGGCAAAGAAAATTAAAAAGCAATGCCAATTTATGAAAATATATTAAGCTATATATATATATATATATATATCTTCTAGTGATTTTATAGTGAACAAAAAGTGTTTGGTTGAATTGAAAACAAACCTTCTTTTCTCTCCACATGGACGCTTCATAGACACATGCTGGCTGCTTATACATATAGAGACTCAGGAGCAAATGCTTCTAATTTTGGACACTGTCGAACATAGACTGTCTCCAAGGCTGGCCACTTCAAAGTATAAGCTTGAGAGCAAAAAGATTCAAGTTCGGGTAAAGAAAAAAGTTGAATATAATTCACGTGAAGAAATGTCAATTCATCCTCAATACTTTCTCCTCCTCCTTCTGCCTCTCCAACAATTTTCTCCATCGCCCTACATTGGATAACATTTATTTTCTCCAGGCAGGTGAGAAGTTTTGCTATGTGGGGTAAAAACAGGTATCTCAAATTGTTACAGTACCATACGTTTAGTATTCTAAGGTTTCCAAAGCCTGAGCTAACTTGTAAACCCTTTTCCCATATGTGGCTCAGCATTGGTAAATACACCAACTTCAATTGCCTCAGCTTATCAAATGCTTGAGTAGAAGGGGTTTCCTGAACCAAAAATATCACTTCCAATAAATCGCAACTATTTACATAGAGATGTTCTAGATTGTCGCTAGCAGTTGAGGTCTGGAGATTTGCCGGTGTAACCTGGCAAAATGGTAGAAAAATAATTGTATAATTTGTTTGTGTTTCAATCATAAACATATTAAAATAATAAGACTGTTTGTGAAAATAATGGTTATCATTTCCCAGATGAAAATTAACAAGTATTTACAATTGTCATGGGACGTGCTTGGGCCAAGCCCATATCCCATTTTAATTTTTTTTTTTTTTTTTTTTTTTTTTTTTTAATCTTCAATGACATTTGTACATAAGACCAATTTTCACAAAATAGACACGGGGTGTATTCAATTGAGATTTTAAAAGATTATTTTGGGATAAATAATCTTCCAAGGATTGAATAAAACCAAGTGAGCAAATGGGTAGGGAAACTCTCATTCCAAGCTCGAGGAGCTTGTTTCAATCCATAAAGAGACTTCAATAAGCAACACACATGATGTGTTTTAGCGGAATCTTTAAAGCTTTGGGGCTGTTGCATATATACTTCCTCATGAAGTACACCATGAAGAAAAGCATTTAACAGACCAATGATACTGTGCAACTAAAGCAAGAATCAATTTAACTGTAGAATGCTTGATAATAGGACTGAATGTTTTTACATAATCAAGTCCGCCCTCTTGATGAAACCCTTTTACAACCAACCAAGCTTTGTGCCGAGAAATGGAACCATAAGCATTTGTCTTAAGTTTGAACACCTATTTACAATTAACAACATTCATGGAAGGTTGATAAGGAACAAGATTCCAAGTATGATGTTTTTCAAGAGCTTGAAACTCATCTACCATAGCTTGAGTCCATTCTAGAACCTTTGCAATCTATGAATAAGTTTGTGGTTCATGTAAAGGAGAATGACCAGTTGTTGTTTAGGCAGCCAAGAAACCATGTCGAGATTTGATAATTCCAGACTTGGAACGAGTCTGCATAGGATGTGAATTAACTAGTGGAGCAGGAAGATCCACAATCAGATCCGGTGAAGAGGATTGGGAAGAAGATGCTTATGACTGATCTAGAGCATGCTCAGTAGAAGAAGATGATGAGGCATACTAAGAGGAAGGCTCTGCTTGTACCTGATTCTGTATAAGTTATGGTGTCTGATCCTGTACACACTCAGTAGAGGAAGTAATAACATCAACAGAAGATGAGACTTCCCTTGCACTAGGTACTGGACTTGCTAATGAATTATTAGAAGAAGTAGTCTCTGGTAAACCATTAAGTCTATGAGTAACACACAAAGATGTGAGGTCTATGAGAAAGGGAAGGTCTTAGTGGTATTAAATCTGGTGGTTTGGTATTGGTTGGTGAAAGAGAAGTGTTCTTATAAGGAAAATAATTCTCATCAAA